CTTCTCTGGCGTCTCGCCGACCCCGGTGCCTCGCAGCAGGTCACGCTGCTCCGGCACCGGTTTTAAATACTAAGAGAAACCGTCTGTCATTTAGACACACCCGAGGGATTAGCTTCGAATTCAGAGAGTGCGAAGGCGCTAAATCCGCCTCTGTTTTCCATGCATGAGAATAAAGAGGAATTTGCGACTTCCCTTACCTGAATTTCATCAGTCCCCCCCAGCAGCATAAAATACACATTCGTTTCTATGTCTAATGGGTTTTTATTTCTCCTTGTAAGTTCCTCTCATAAGTTTGTAAGGTGTTTTTAGCAAGGGAGAAGTGGCATTTTATTACAGACATAAATAAGAGAGGATGAACAATTTAATCCTCAGTAATTTTGATTACTGCCATAAAATCTGGCTGTGTTTGCAACAAGAAGAGGGAAGTCACTGAGAGCATATCTGTCAGGGGCTTCGGGTCTATTTCATGCTATTGTAGACCTCTCCATCACTAGTACAGGGAGAGCTTTAGGAATAATAGGTATTGAGAATAAAAATACTCTCTCATCACTGTCACACCATTTGGTGTTTCTCTGTCACAGCCAGGACTTTTGCAAGCTCAGCTGAGGGTGCTGGATTTGTCTGTAAAGTGTTAGTACTGCAGTGTGGGCTCATCCTCCCCAGGTGTATATAGGCTGTTACCCTGTATTTGGGCACCGAGGCAGACAGCACTAAGGGCCAGACCCACAGAATATTTGGGCATCTGTAAATACGAATAGAGGACTTGGGTATCTCTTTACTTTTTCAGCTCTTGACCTGAATGACTTGTCAAAGGATAAGTAAACAGCAGCAGAACGAGTCATTAAGATGGAGCTCTCAAGTCCTGGGTCAGTGCCCTGTTTAATTTATTTTGCTCCAGGCTGGAATTGTGATCTGTCTGGTTGGTTTCAAATTTTGGAACTTTAAAAATTGGTCTGTAGCTCAGGTATTAGGGAAACTTAGTCTGGTCATATAGGACATTTTAATTTACTTCCTTCTGTGATCTTTGACAGATTTGAGTTTCTGAGAAAAAGGCAGGAAAACCTATCAGACAATTTGTTCAGTAAAAATCTTTCTGCTGTCTGCTACTGATGTCAAGATGAAGGAAATCCTGTTTCAGCAGGTTTTTTTTGTGAAATCTTGATTGGCATATTTTTTTCCAAAGTAAACCCAAGCTCATTACCCAGCCCACCTCAGTGTTGTTGTTGATGAACAGTCATTGTCAAATAAGTTAGATAACTTGAACGTTGTGGGAACAATGTTGCATCCATAAATGAAAAACATGTTGCAAGTCCTAATTAGCTTTCTGACACGGTTTTGATGTTTTCAGCTATGTTTAGAGAGTTCTAATTGATTGTCCATGGACTGCTGTCCTTCATGGGTCACTGAAAACAGTAGTGAGCCATCAAGCTGTTTGTAAAGGTTACAGATGTCTTTTTTTTGCAAGTTACCAAGCTTTTAAACAGCCCTTAGGCAGTGCCTTTAACCAAGCAATGAATTGATACGTTTGGAATCAGAGAAGCTTTCATTTCAGAATTCCATAATCTCAGTTATGTTTTCTTAATCCACATGCTGCATTACAATTAGCTTCAGTACCTGAATTCCTTCATTATAATTTTAATTTAAAAATCTTTAAAAGTGAGAGGCTAGCTGAAGTAGAATTGACTCATCTTGGACTGAAGTAACTCTGAACATTAATACATGTGAATTAGCATACACAATGTTACAATAATAACGTTGATCATACATATAAACTGCTTAATTGTATATCCTTAGATGCAAAGTATCATTTCTTCTCTGTGGACTATGAAAGAGTCAGGGTTGCACATTTCTAAGTAATATTTTTTAAAATTATGTGAGAACACAAAGTAATCCAGAAAGAACAGACATAACTCATTTTATTCAAAAAGCTGCTGAATTGCTAAGCTTTAGAAACATTATGTATGAGCTGTGCTGGCCTTTGAAAATTTCAGCCTCAGAAGAATTTGACTTAGAAACTTAGGAACAACTGAAGAAGGAGGATGGAGGAAAGGAACTGGTTCAAATGTGGTGTATTTGGTAGTTACCCACAGCACAAGCGATACTGCAAGTATCAGCCACACTGCTTGTGTTTGCCTGGGGAGCAAAGTGTAGCTCTGTCTGAGGGTGTGTGCATACAAACACCCACAGTCATACACACATATTTTATGACCAGTCTTGAAAGCAATCAGCCAGTTACGAATTTCCCTTTGCTGTTTCCACATGGTCAGCTCTTCACTAAGACAGTTTTAATTGTATACAAAGACATCTTTTCTCAAAATGTCAGTTGGAGCCTCAAGCTTCCCAAGTAGCACACCAGCTGCACGCTTTGCAGAATTTACAGGCCGAATGGCAATTTCAAGGTAAAAAGAAACTAAATCATAGGTGAGCTTATGCTGAAGATAAGGCTTTTTCTGAGAAAATGGGGCTTAACTTCATGCAGCGTATCCTTGATTACTGTTTGTATAAGGGATGCTTAAAAGAGAGGTTCATTGTTTAAATCTCTCATCATCCAATGGTAGCATTAACAACTGAATTGGAACAAAGATACTGATGTTTGATCTGAGGTTCTTTGTCTCAATGCAGCTTATAATTACAAGAAAAAATTATGGTAATAAATAACAAAGAAAAGCACTGTGCAAGTGAAAGTCATTGTCTGCAATATATGTTGGCAGAACTTAACACACCTCTGCCAGGACAAGGAATAATGAAGTTAAAAGATAATGTCATAAAAATCAAAAGAAGGCAGGGTAAATTTCCTTGCCATTGAGTTATTGAATTTCTGTCCCTGTTCTGTAACGTCAGAAATATATAACAGATGTGGTTTAATAAAGGGATCAGCTGATTAAACACATGCAATAATATATAGAGAAGAGAGAGAAAACTGTCATGGGCCTGATCTTGCCAACATTACAACGCGAGTAGTCTCTAGGAGAATAGCAGGAGTGAATCCTTTTCGTGTTACTCTTAATACAAAGCACACTTCACTGCACTTGTAACTATGGTAGCTTTAAATCACAGCATGGCATTTTGATTGTAATGGTAACCCCCTCCTCCCCGTTTAAGGACTCTTATGCCCTTAACACGCTGATCTGAAAATAAGTAACTGTAAGCTGTGCTAAGAGGATATTACCTGGAATCATCAATGTCAAATGTCCTGACTTTTCCAACTTTGTTTTCAGGTGGCTATGTTGCTAACAGCCTAGCAATTATGACAGATGCACTTCATATGTTAACTGACCTTAGTGGTATTATTTTGACCCTGCTCGCTCTCTGGCTGTCTGCAAAATCTCCCACAAAGAGGTTCACCTTTGGATTTCATCGCTTCGGTATGTAAATAGCAGCTTTTGCTATTAACAGTATTTTCAGCAACAACTGTAAGATCACCGAATTCTAGAAAAATAGGGAACTAGAAAGAAAGTAGCAACAAACCTAAAAGTTTTACTCAAATGTCCTTTCCCTGGCCATTGTGGATCTGCTGCGTAGGTTGTATTGCAACAAGGCAATAGAGAATAAAAATACAGAATTTTAAATTTTAAACCTATGCTAAAAGTGAAGTTTGATGGCAGAGTTTTACTCACTGGGAGCAGGATGAGTCTTGGCATCTCTGCAGAAGTAGGAGTTGGCAGATTCAGAGTTAAATTTTGAATGCCCAGTTCATCTTCCATGTTAAAGAGGAAGATTGGGGAATTGGATACATGATGACATTGTAAATATTGTAAAAATTACTTTCTACAAATGAACAATGGCCTAAAAAGTTTAAAAAGGGTTCAGAGGAGGTAAGCTGTCCCCAGCAAGAACAAGGGTAGATGTGCAGCTTTCTTTCATAGCCCAGTTGCTGGGCTGTTGCATGAGGTGAGGCCACTGTGCACATTTATGCTTTGGAATTGAGGCTGTTGAGCAAAATATAGACACATTCTTTGGTTACTCACTGCTGTACCACTGTTACTGCTTGTGTGACACACAAGCAGTCTTGTTGGCGCAGGAGCTGTATGCATTAGTCAGTTGTTCACTACAGATTATTGCCAGTGCTCAGGATTTATGAAGTCCCATTGACTTAAGTAGAATTACGACATGAGAAGAAGGTCCTATTCAATGTGAAAAATTACATCTTAATCCAGAACTAAGTAGTTTTGTAGAGTGTATTATTAGAGAGCTCTGCCCTGCCAAAAGCCACATAAATCAGTACTCCTCTTGCACTCTCCAAACCACACAAAGCAGAGGTCAGAATGTCCCATAGTTTGCAATACAGTAAGTTACTTAACCCTTGTCTATTTGAAGCGTATCAACAGAATTATGTACTAAACTTGGGAAGGGTAATTTTAGGATTCATTATTTCATGTTTGGAAATGTAATGATGATAAAGGTTATTTTCATGTGGTTGCTAACTGGATATAGTAGTTCATAATACAGCTCATAATATAAGCTGCAGGTCTTGTGGACATGTTACCAGAAGCTTCAACCTTTCTTTTTCGTGACACAGATAATTTCTACTGCCACAGTTAGCTACCTCTGCTCTATACATTCTATAGTGTAGATTTTTCAATAAATTTCCAAGTCTCGTGTAGTCATTTGCAGTTCTTACTCTGGCTGCTAGAACAGCAATAGACTTCAACAACTCCATCACTCTGAGTCGTTTGTCATCAGTTAGTCACTAATTCATGAATGCATGACTCTGTACACTAGCAAAGAGCTTTGGGGCTTTTTATAGGAAAGTATTAACAATGCCAGCATTTCCCATTACAAACTTTTCTTTCAAGAAGTTTTAATTTTGCAATAGGAGCTCCCCTAATACTGAAACCTGACCTTGCAGGTATGCTCCTGGCATTTGCTCCTACTCTCCAGAATGTTTGCTAGCATTTATACATACTTTAACCCTAGTTAAAATAATTTGAGTAGTTTATGTGTCTTTGTACCTTTTCTAAAATCAAGTAGTGCATATGTTGAACATGCCATAGCCTAGCTTAAAACAGGAGTTCATCTTAAGAAACATAAACGAAACTTATTTAACCATTAAAATCTTACCCAGTTCTGCACATTTTTACTGACTTTTCAATTAATTAATTTGAGGGCTCCAAAGCACTTTGCAAACACAAATCCTTGAGAATTGCTGCCACCTCAATTTCTGTATCTTTTTTTTTGCTGCCAAGACAAATACTGGCTAGACAGATGCAGTGATGGCCCACAGACCGGAGCTGGCCCGTAGAATTCATCTGTATCAGCCACCGTGGAGAACACAGGGAGCAGCTTCTCAGTTCTGCCACAATTACTTCTTTTTTCTGCTGCTCAGTGTCACTAAATGGTCAAACACTAGAACAGGTTGCGAGGTCTCCACAGTTGGAAATTCTCAAAACCCAACTGGTTGCAGTCCTGAGCAACCTGCTCCAGCTGACCCTGCTTCCAGCAGGACCACAGTTTCCAAGAGCTCCCTTCTACCTCAGCTGTTCCGCGTGAGCTGCAGCTGTGCAGCTTTCTCTGCAGGAGGATGGGAGCCTGGTGGAGGTCTGGGGGGGAGGGTTTCTGTGTCTGCAGTAAGGAAGGTGAAGTGGGGAAAGGTCCCACAGGAGACCTCCAAACCTTGACCTAGGCTCTGCAAGTGCAGAAGATGGGATGATTCAAAGTGATTGTAAACAGTTTTTTGAAGTCACATTTGTGAAATTTACTTGGCTGATTTTAGGCACCCGATCTGAAAGCCATGGCCTCAGGGCCCAGTTTCACACATCAGTGAATGCTGTCAATGGAACAAAGCTGCTTCTAGGTTATATTCTCTCTGTAACACATAAATAACCTATATATAAGAAGCTTGTCAGCAAAAAATATGAGCTCAACAAAAGCTTGAAACCCATGGGAGAGATGTTAAAACATGAGAGAATGTTAAAAATAGGGTAAAGATTGAGCATCTGTCACAGGAAAAAATGTCAAGCACTTGTTTAAAGCTGGGAATATGCAGGATCTATCTCATTGCTGACCTGCTTTGCGTTATGTTTTAAGATGTTTAAGATAATAATAAAATATATACAGTAAGCATGAAAACATAATCAACAGTGTTTCTGGTGCTATTACTTCTGTTTGCAGAACAATACATTTTTCAATCTTGTTCCCATAAACATTGCATTTTAAAGACAACAGACCTATTAGTTTTCTAGTCAAATTCCTGAAGGAAATTAGTACTCGTTTGAATTTATTTGAACTCTCTTTGAATACATAATATGTATGCTCCATCTTCAGTTTTATTCCATTTTCAGTGATGCAAAGGAAACTGACATTCAGGAATTATACTCTTTAAGCCAAAGTAGTTCAGTTTCACCACCAAGTGGAGATACCTCCTTCTCAGGAAGACCCTGGGTAGATTTAAGCATAGATACGGAACCTGGTATTTTTCCATTGCTGCAGAGACAATGTCAGTAATGACAGAATCAGTCAGTCTGCTGAGACTGTGGATACTTCATTTCACAAGAAGTGAACAAATCTACAATGCTGATATGAGAATGTCTCTGTGAAAGAAACTGCAAGGAGAACACTGATTTTATTGCAGAAAGCGTGTTTTTAGACTCTAAAACCACAATATGTTACTTCTCTGGTAAATGCTAATGTGCTATGGCTTTACAGGTTTTTTTAAAAAGCATTCTGGAAAACCTAAGCAATGTCTTTTTTTTTTTTTTTAAGGCTGTTGCCTTGAATAATCTGCCTGCTTTGTAAAGAACACTACCACTTCCATGGATATTTCCAGGATTTTCATGTTTCTCTGAAATAATCTGAGATTGTGACAGTTGCCTTTCAGAGCCTTGTTAACTGCCTGGTAATGCTGGTACTCCTCCAGGCATTGACACACTACTGAACAGCTGAATGTGCTGGTGTGAGTTTCTTCTCCCATAATGATGTTAAAAACTCAGTGTCTGAATCAAGAGATTTTGGTGATATTAAAATGCTTATATAGCTGCATGTTTTTGACTGTAATATTCAATACATGAAATTAGGCAGTTCTGTGTCAGAAATTACACCTTCTGCAGTAACCAAAGTTGTACTACACGCTGACAAATTCAAAGCAGAGGGAGAAGTGAGACAATTCTCAAACCAATATTCATAGAGCTGTGGTACAGCCAAGAGCAGAATTTTGCCCTTACTGGGGGATAAATCAGGGAAATATGTTGAACAAGGGGGAAGAACAACCATTACAGTTCCAAGTAAACTAATTCCAACTCTGATCTTTGAATTTGCACAGAAAGGCTAAGATCTCAGTGATCATCTGGCAGTGACAGTAATGAGCATTATGCATAATGATTACAGATTACTCAGGCATGGCTCTGAATTTACATGCAATACATAAGCATTAAGGTTTTCCCAGTGCTTTTTGCAAAGCCCTGTATTAACTTGCTTATAAATGAGACGGTTATAACTGGGCCAATGTTTTCTCTGTATCTTGCCTTTTTTTTTTTTTTTTTAAGAGTTCTGCTTGCAACAGGGCAACAATTTTCAGAATATTAAGCTAGTGGGTAAAAGTTTGTTTATATTGAAAGGAATCTAGTGACCCATTTGGAAATACCTGTATTCTTTATAGTAGGACCGTAAAACTGTAGTGTGAACTCTTCCTACTCAGGTTTATGCAGGCTATTATCAGCCCAAGTGCATGACTTGGTAATAAGGCAGACAGCACTAAGGCCCAGACCCATAAAATATGCAGCCCTATTTACCTCACATCAGAACAGCAGGAACCGTGTCGAAAACTGTAACCATGTTCCACAGATGTAAACAGCAGTGGAAGGTGCAGGACAATAAAATATGAGGAGTTTTTATTTCTAATTTTCTCTTTATTTAGATGTATGTGCCCTTTTGAAAATCCCTGCTGATCAGATAAAAATCCTGCACCAAAATCATAGAATCATAGTTGGTCGTAACAGTAACTTTAGTGAAATACCAGTATTTGGTAACCATTAGATAATGTTAAATCAGCATATTACAGTAACAGAGAAACTTAGATTAAGCAGCCCTTTATAGCTGAAATCTGCAATAAATTGTATGTACATGTGTCAAGAAGCTTAGGAGTCATATGTCTGACAAGTTTGTACTGTTCAGTTTATAAATATTTTCCTTTTTTTCCCCTTCATCCTAAATGCAAAATGGTATATAAAGTAATTTCTAAATCCAGCTTAATACTGTGGACACTTTAAATCAACCTTTCTCCTACTGGTAGGTGGGCTGGTGATGTTTGGGATCACCTGTTTTCCTCTCCCCTGGACAGGGTCTTTGTCTGCGACTTCTCAGGCAAAAGTTGTTTGAACAAGTCTCAGTCATCACCCATGCAGATGTTTTCAGAGAAAACATAACTGGAGAGATATATTGACAGGGAAGGGTAAAGGAGGAGTTGATTAGAACAAACTCCATTTGTTAATCCTATATTACGAGTTTTATTTACCACACAACTTGTTCATTGTGCATTAGGGTTACAATACACATAAAATAGTAAAAATAATTAAGGCTCTGTCCACATTCTAATTTGGAAATAGAAATAGACATGAGACTCACTTTTGTAATGTTGTTTGCTTTCTGTTTGCAGAAGTATTGTCAGCCATCATTAGTGTATTGCTGGTCTATATCCTTATGGCATTCCTCTTGTATGAAGCTGTTCAAAGAACTATCCATATGGACTATGAAATAAATGGCGATATCATGCTGATTACAGCAGCTGTTGGTGTTGCAGTTAACTTAATGTAAGATCTCCCTTTCTCTCCATTAACACTCATAAATGTATTTCTGAATAAGCTGCTAATTCTTTCATGGCCTGTAACTTTCTCATGGGGTGGAATTTTGCTGGACCTCTTCATTTTCATAAATGATACTGAGTGTTACTTTTTCAATCCTTTTGTTTAAAAGGAAAGAAAAAGAAAAAAAGCATCAGAAAAAACCCACCAAACCCTAAACCCTGGTTCTCGGAGTGTTTTTCTTCTTTCACTTTCAGAATGGGTTTTTTGCTGAATCAATCTGGCCACCTTCACTCCCATTCCCACTCTCATGTCCCTCAGTCGAACTCTCCTAGCACAGCCCACAGTGGCAGCCACGGGCACAGCAGCCTTGCTGTGAGAGCAGCATTTGTACATGCCCTTGGGGACCTGGTGCAAAGCATTGGTGTGCTGGTAGCTGCCTACATCATCCGCTTCAAGGTAAGGAATGGCCAGGCTTTTTCAGCAAGGTGCATTTGTTTTTTTAATTTCACCTCCGATGAGTATGTTAAAAAGGGACTTGTTTCTGTAAGTTATTTAAAATACTTTGTGATTTTCTATTATAAGCTTCATACATTCCTTCAAAATAAGCAAACACTGGCTCTATTATGTATTATCTAACTATTAAAGCAGAAAGAAATATTTGTGAAAGCTGGAGCTAGGACTAACTGCATTTTCTGAGTCACATTTTTATAAATGGGCTTATTTTCATACATCTTTAACACTTTGGAACTTCTCTTGCAGCCAGAATACAAGATTGCTGACCCTATATGTACATACGTGTTCTCCATACTGGTGGTTTTCACAACAGTTCGAATTCTGTGTGACACAGGAGTTATTATTCTGGAAGGTAGGATCTGAGCACAGTCTGCAGTACTTCACATGTCAAACACCAGTGAGCACTGGCACTTGCTTGATGTCATGATCACCATCTCTAACAAGAAGGACTGTGTCTGAAGACCTGTTTATCCTGCTGCTGCTTTAGTCTGTTGGTTCTTGATGACGTTTAAGTTGCAACAGTCTTCAGGTGTCTGACCTCTGCAGGGAAATGTACAGAACTTTCTTGTGTGTCTGCCAAGGCTACCAGCTAAACTAAGTGAACTTTTGCCTAGACTCAGTTCTGCACTTTCACTTTAATTATTGTAAAGTTGGAAGTGAATGCCTATAATAGGAGAAAGCGAGTTTAGGCCAAACGGCTGCTCAGGTGGTTCACCCATCTTCCCCTTTTCCATCAGTGCTGTTGCATCACTTGTGTGCTTCTACTGTTACCAAAAGGGAAGCTACCTACAAGTAAAAAGTGGTGTTAAAGGAATTAAAGAATTAATTTAAAAAAAAAAGAAAAAAGAAGAAGCTGAACATGAGCTGAAGAATCTTACCTCCTGTGCTTGACCTGTAATAATGCAAAGAATGTTGCTGGTATCTCTCTCTATTACTAACATGCCAGCAATGACTACTTGATCTAGTACTTTTACAGTATGAAAGTGAAAATGTTAGGGGTGGGAGAAAAATTGACATCTGTCATGACATTTTAAGGGCCACTGAGAGTTTGCAGAATTAATTTTACCTTACGTTTGCTATCACAGGAGTTCCAAGGCATTTAAATGTGGATCGCATTAAGGAAGACTTGATGAAAATTGAAGATGTTTATTCTATAGAAGATTTAAATGTTTGGTCTCTCACTGCAGGAAAAACAACTGCCATAGTCCACTTGCAACTAGGTAAGCTGCTGTATAGCATAATTCTAAATTAAATCTAAGTATAGAAAAGCCCCCAACAAACTATTTTATCTTTATATTGTTATTTAAATTAAATCAGGAAGTACACTTCTGGAAAAAAATCTACTATGATTTTGTACAGTGAGGTGTAGAACCTATTGGCCCAGAAGGATAGTGTAACTGAAAACTGTGGAAAGAAAATATATTTTTAGTGAGACATCCAGTACAGATTCCCTGGGTATGGGGGGGGAAAGAACAAAGAAAAAGAAAAAAATATTTATCCTTAGAAATTCTTGTCCATGGTCAAGTTATCATCTGGAACAATCTGACATATGAAAAATAAATATGTTTTGCCAAAACGTGCTGATTTAGACATCTGTCAGTACCATGAATATTCTTAGTAAGGAAGCTCAATGTTTTTGGGAGAGTTAGGGGTGGTGTCTAGCACACAGAGTTTTATCAAGATGTGATTCTAGCTAGAGGATATAGACCTAAATGTGTAAAATAAAAGAGTAAATAGTGACCAGAGAACAATATTGAATTAAGAGAGTGAACAAAGATTATTCTAGTTGGTAACACTGTGAAAAATTTGAGACCAGCTGCATTGTCCAGGTTTCTTGAGGACCAAATTCTATTAATACTGTTCTATTATTGATTTTCCAGTTCCTGGTAGTTCATCTAAATGGGAGGAAGTTCAGTCCAAGGCCCGACAACTGCTGCTGAATACATTTGGAATGTACAAGTGCTCTGTCCAGCTTCAGAGTTACAAACAGGAAACGAGCAAAACCTGCGCAAGTTGTCAGAGTTCCAGTGCCTAATTTAATATGTTTTGGGAACTGCTGCCTTATTCTTGATCTTGTAGTAAAAGACTGAGAGCAATAAATGCAAAATGAAAATAACCAATTAGAAACCATTAATATGTGGATTTTTACAATGTAACATGCAGCAGGGAGAACTGGTGCTGCAAAAAGTGCAGTGTTTGCCCTACAGAACACGTATTTCATTCTCTCCCGTGTACTGGTTTATTCAATTAATTATGATTTTCAGACAAATCTTTTTCAGATTATTGTTTACAAACTGCAACGTGGCTCTGCAGATACCTCACAAATTACAGTCCAATATAACTATGTACCACAAAGTACCTGTGCTCCAAACAGAGCATCATGTATTCAGTATTCCAATGAAAGTCTCTAATGCTGATCATGCCAGGGTTCCATACTATGTCATGATCCCTGAATTCATTAGACAGTATTTTTGCAATAGTAATTTTCATACAGTATCTTAAACTGTAATGCATACAGTGCTAGTTGAATTCTTTTGGAAACTGTCTCTTGGGAGACACTGCAAAATACCGAATTTAATGTACCCAGACCAGAAATTTAGCTTTAATCTGGGCATTCAGAGATCCAGACAGGAAGATCCTTGTCCAGACTTCTGGTATTTAACTAGAGACCCAACAATGGATCCAAGGTGTTTTAAGTGATCAGTTATCTTTAATGTATTTTAGAATAGGGTTTATACATTAGAAACAGGTTATTTATTTTACAAAGCTTTGACTTGTAAGATGAATTTCTTATTCATAATCTTGAATGTCTAAACCGACATTTGATTCAGATTAGAAGGCCAGTTGATTAGCATGTGTTCTAGTTATAATTAATAAATGTCCTGTAATTGAGAATTTTTCCATGATTGTTTTGTTTCAAAAGGAAAATCAAATGATAGAAAATACGCTTGACACAGAGATACTCTCAGACACAATCTATAGACATGCAAAACACATGCATCTTCTGACAGGGAAGTGGGGAGCAGAAGTTTGAGATACATGCTGTTCCCTCAGCCACAGATTTCTGACCTTTTTGTCTTTGCTTTGAGCACAATATGGCAGGGCCCCCAGGAAA